ATCTAATACGGAGAGCAGGATAAGGAGCTTATAAAGTGTTGAAACTGCCGTGGAAGTGTAATCCACTTTCAGCTTTGTGTAATATTGCTGAAAGCTGACAATGATTAATGTCACACTGTTTCGCCTTTGGATTCTACAAGCAACTTCCCAACGTAATCGCAGCTCTCAAGATTCCATAAACTTTTGGTGTAGCACCTTCAAATCGAGAAGAATCGAGAATACAACTGTCTCAAAGTGTCTCAAAGTCAAAGATCTGGATGCATCCACAGATGGAATAGTTTAAATGGCAGTTTGAGGCAATAAAACACCACCATCGTAGGATTTAAACCAGAGCTCAGTCACTAGATATGCTTATAACACATTCTCTTTTAGGGATATAACAACAGGTATACGTTCATTTAGGGGTCATAGAGATTGCGGCGATTATCGAAGCATGTTGTAATTTTATATTAATAATTTTTGCCTCATATCTCTCTGAAACAAGCCAAGAAATTCTGTGGAAAGTGCAGATTCTAAACTTTGTAAGCTTAATTTGTAATGTTTGTAAGAAGGCTAGCACATGCTTTCTACAAGACAATGCAATGCAACATCATTGGACAGCTCAACACGCTTGCAGGAGAATGCTACTGCTAGTTCTCTTATGTCAGTTAGCAGATGCCTGTGTTGGCTAGCTTTGCACTGAGGGATGGAAAGAGGGAGGACCATCATACCCACAAAAAGAAAGTGAGGATGGACCTTCAGCCATTTGTTGTTGGCATTAAATTCAAAATGGCCATATATTAAAAAAATAATAATAATAAAATTCTTCAGTTTCAACATTTGATGTGTTGTCTTTGTACTATTTTCAAATAAATATACAGTTTAAATGATTTGCACATCATTGAATTTTGTTTTTATTTACACTTTGCACAGTGCCCCAACTTTTTTGGAAATGGGGTTGTAGTAAAGCAATGATAATGCTAGACTCTTGGTTTGTCTCTAGGTAATAATGCTACACTCTAGGTCCAGGCTTGTGCAATATAACGTCCTAGCACGATCTTACACTGCCACAATATCCAGTGACACTGACTCTGATGATATTATTTTAGTAAGTGTGCATTTTACTCTTAAATTCACTCTTTGTATATGGTAAAAATGCATAACAAGTGCTGTGACCTCGTTGTGAACCCATCTGTTATGACCATAATAGCAGAACTCCATGCAAGTTTTTAGATTTAAACCCATGGAAAATGGTCAACCACTCAATCCAAATGACGTGACTTGTAAAAACTGTAACAGTATCAGCAGTGAGTCTAAATCTGAGTCAAGACCAGCAATTTCAAAGAGAAGCACATGAGTGATAATAGCTGCCACTCTGTGAGCTTCCTCGGAGGAAGTTGGAGGAAAGTCGCCTCTCTGGCATCACAACAGATAACAGCTCCAACACTGTGGCGGTCATCAAAAACTCAACTGGACCTGGCTGAGTTGTTTCAGACACAACTTAAATCTAGGAGTGATAAACATTTTCTCACAGCAGCGCAGGAGGTGACTTCAGACTGCCCAAATCCAGCTTGACCTCCCTCAGTGAACCCTCATAAGGGTACAAAGCTTCAGCATAACTGTATTATTATTATTATTATTATTATTATCATCATAATTTATGCATAACTGAATAAAGTTTGTTCATGGTTATTATTAACTGGTTGCTCGACAGAAACACACTGTGCTAATGACACTCAGTGGCGCCACTCCATGGTTTAAGGTGCATCAGTTTTATCTGCTCTACACAACTACAACGTTAATCAAGATTTTTTAAGAAACAAATTTTTTTGGTAAACCGCAAGCAAGGAAGAATCAATATTGCACAAGCCCATTGCCTTCCTAAAACCATAATCAGCCTGAAGGGAACAATGTTTTCTTCTAAAAGTCAATCCAGTCATGCAACCATAAGATGGCAAATGAAAAGCTTCTGCTTTTAGCGTAAGAGCAGCAAACGCATGTGTTATTCATCAGGCCAAAACCGGCTGTTATTCTGAGAGGCAAAACTTGATCCCTGCCATCCAGCGCGGTCAATGCTGTTTGGTGAAGATGAGATGCCTCCAGGAGGTAATTATCATGTTAGTCTGTTTACTGTCACAGTGTAGTAAATAAACAGTTGACATTTGGCCGGATTGGTTAATTATACGGTTAAGCCTCAATTTCAGTGCTTTTTAAAGGACAGCGCTCACATGCTAACAATCATACTCGTTCGTCAGGTCAAAAACATGATGCCATGTAAAATCCAGGAGCAAGCAAGAGTGACGAGCATGCAAAAGAAGAAACAAATACCGCAGTGCAGAGAATCATTAGCTTGGGTTAATAGAAAACATATGATTTAAAAGGAAGCAGGGGGAAGACTTAATTTAAAGATATTGGAAAAGCTGTCAGGGTAATAATAAGTGTGCTTGTTTGGCCCGAGCATAATAAAAGAGGAAAAAGTCAAATGAGATTGCCCTTGAGCAAGAGAGCACTGGGGAGAGTCTTACTCCTCCATCAACAACAAAAGGAAGCAATCAATATACATTTTTATGAACAAGTAGTACATAATGAAAAATCCCCCTTAAGAATGCACGGAAATTGTTTCATTAGCTTTTTGCTTTTGTTAAACCAAGTTTTTGTTTTTTTTCTTTTTTTTTACAGGAATGTTCTCTTTTATCGGTCACGTTTGTTGAATTTTCTCGTCAATGAAGGGAGGCACGAAATAAACTGATATCTTAAAAACGTACAGCAGGGCGTCTGACTTTAAAGTTATAAAAGTGAGCCGTCACTGTCGATTGAGTGTCTGTAAATAGTTCCTCAATGTAGATATTCAAATAATACATGAAAGGTTCATGAAGGTTTTTTCTTTTTTTTGTCACAGTAAGTCTCCGGTAGCAGTTCCTCCGATTGTTGCACAACTGACGGGCAATGGATGGTTGTTTCTCCTTTTTCTTTTAACATGATTGTGTGGAAATTCCTCAGACACAGTGCTCTTTATATCCACAATGCTTGCTGCTCTTTCAGATGACAACCCTTACAGTACAGCAGCCTGGCCACTTTTGTAAACACGCCTCTTTTGAGAGCACAGGTTACTTCAAGATCTGAATCCTGCCTAAATCACGCAACTCAGACTGGAAAGAGAGAGTGAGACAGTGTGTATAAGCAGACACCTGGATACCAAACCATATTTACAGGGCTGGAAATCAATATTCATGGCAATGGGGTAGGGCAGTAAATGGAACAAAAGACAGCACAAAGGCAGAGAACATTTGAAAGAGCCATTAGATGATCACCTGAATGAAAATGTCTTTTTTTAAACTGTAAAAAGGGCTGCGAATGTTCAGATCCTTTTCACAGATGATAAATACAAATGATAATGGAGAGAGCGGGCACTCCCGCATAGGCACCTCAATCCTACTATTGAGATTATGACAGGTGTAAAAATGAAAAACATCTTGAAAAACATCTAATGACGTAAAATTTCACCATTATCCAGCTGATTCATACAGTGCATGGAATAAAATGTCATATAACAACATTTCTAGTATCAAATTACTGACAGGACAGATGTGAGGAGAAAGATTAAGAATTACAGTGGATTACTGAGTAAATGCTTTTTGTAGTTCTGTAGAACCATTAACGCAGGTATATTTTTCCCTTGGCATCGCTAATCTAATTTTTTGGTTTACTGGTCCATGAAGCTTTAGGTTAAATGAGGGTGCCGGGAGCGGAGGAGTGAGTGATCCTTTTTAATCAAATTTGAAGTCTCGGCTGCTTAGCCCCCACACACTACATGAAACAGCCTTAGTTAACTGCTAATTAGTTAACCTAATCAAACTGGACATTAATTAAGTGATAGCTGAAAATAGAGGTGTTGGAGTTAATTGAATTTGTCATTTTTTTGTATAAATGATAGCTTTGGCGGTATATTATAAAACTGGGTATAAAAATTTATGAGCACTGTTCTATATTTGTTAAGAATGAAGACTTTTCCCCTTTCTCTTCCTCCTCGTTCCAGTATCTTTTGTCTTGCTGCTTCTTTAACGGGTCACAAATCTGCTGCAGTGAACCAAACTGGACAAATAAACAGTGTAGACTGTATAGTAGTTTGTATAGAACAGCCAGGTGCACCCAACTGGTTGCAGATGACTAGAACGTAGGTTCCTTTGATGCATACAACTTTGGATCCATGCTAAAGTGATTTGTCATATTGACCACATCAGTAAAAGCCTGCAATATGGATCACTAGACCTGGTTTGCATTTACTTTACATTTCCATCATTTGTTTATCATCTTGTTCAACACTGCAAGCAGCTGGCAAAAGATCCTAACAGAACTAACACTCCCTGGGGTGTTTCTACTGTTTTACTTTTCATATTTCCTTCTCCTTTTCTTTTTTAGATGACAAATACTATTGAAACGTAAATCTGGTCGCCACACGTGGGATCCCTGGAATATAGACGGAAAAGTCTGCTTTTGACAGCTTCATGGAAAATCAGCGCATCACTTCTCCCCTTCTTACTTCCACATGACTGGCTCACAAATGAATGCAGTGCCCTGTGAATCGTGTGGGAGTAGACATGCACACCCTCTCTCAGACTCAATGAGGACTCAGGCTACAAAGGTCTTGCTATTGACATAAACAAATTGAATACTAGGCAGATGTGATTATTTTATAACAAATGATATGCTCCCTGGAATATCTTCATTGAACATGAATATTATGAGAGTTGGTCTCTGCTTCTAAATGAATGCTACCATGGATTGGTGCTGTATTGTCATGCTTGCTCTCACCCTCTCTCTCTTCTATTCACTCCCTCACTCTGGCTTTTTGATGACTCATCCTGTACACAGACGGATCAAAACAACTTGTCGTCAGACCCTGACAAACTTAACTTTGCTTTGTACACAGCAGCCATCCCCTTGGCTGCTTTTCCACAGCAAATCATCAAGCTAATCAGGCAGCGCAGAAGGCCCATGCTTTAGAGTCTTCAGTGCCTCACAGCTCATAGCTTTTGCTGTGCTGATACACCCTTCCAGTAGTCGAGGATGTCATGCAAGTCCTCGCCCTTTGCAAACTGGACCTTCTTGCGCAGAGCGTTTCCGGCCGTGATGTAGCAGGACTCCTCGCGTGGGCCTTTTCTGTAGGGACGGAAGCGCTCCCAAATTCGCAGGGTGCTCTCGGAGGAATACTCTGGGCTGGACGAGTAGCCCGAGTAGTTGTGGTGGCGGGGCGAGAGCTGAGAGTAGGAAGCAGCGTCCCTCTTGGTACGTGATAAGGGTTTGAGGAAAGATGCCCTTTGGGCAGGGGAGTCATGGGAGCCCTCATAGTAGAGAGCAGGGACAGAGTGACGGTGCTCTGCACAGTGGTAGTCTGGATGTACCTCTAGATGCTGACCCATGCCATCCATGGTGCCTCCATCCATGTTACAGCCCCCACCGCCACCACCACTACTACCAACTAACGGCAGCCTCTCAAGGGGTTCTCCACAACCCACTGGGCTTCCCTTTTCAGGATAATGGCATGGATCAGGACTCCGAGGCTCAGGGACATCCAGGCTGTAAACACGGGCCTTTCCACCAGCAGGGCCACAGTGCTTTTTGGAAGAGCTGACAATAACAGCTGCATCTGCACTCATCTGTCTCTGGATAGGTCTCACTGCTGTAGCTGGTGGTGGGGGGCGATAAGGAGGTGACACGAAGCCACCTCCTGTGATCCCTGGCCTTTCAGATAGGGGACCTGTCAGGGGAAGAGGAGGAGGAGGAGGGATTTTTGGGGAGGGCATTACCTGGCAGGCCTCAGTGACACCAGTTGAGAGTGGAATGAGTCCCCGGGTCAAGGAAGAGGTACTGGTTGGTGGAGGTGAGGTGGGATTCCCACTTGTTGTAGTAGCAGAGGACACAGCGGTGGCTACAGAATCAAGCTTGAGGGCATCAATGCAGTTGTTGATGATCTGGTTGACCTTGTCAACTTCCATCGCAATAGTGGAGATCTCTGATGCTGATCCACGACCATCATCATCTGAGTCATCTCCAAGGTCACTTCCATCTTCCTCTCTGAGGTCTTCTGCTCTGACAGCCTGCATCACTCCATCTCTCCCTCTTTCTTCTACTCCTACTGAAGTCCTAATATCCATGTAGTTGCCCTTGCTTGCCATGGCCTCAGAGAAAGCAGTGGCCATCTTCTCTACTTGAGGGATGGAGGACAGTCGTGAAGAACTTGTGTTTGCAGAGCCATGGCCAAGCAAGCCTGAGCTGGAGGAGGAGGACATAGGCAGCTTGCCATGGTGGTGCTGGTGGTGGCTTTGTTCATGGAGCTTCTGTACTGCTGTTGGATCATTTGCAGCTGCTGCTGCCACCTCTGGTCCATAGCGCATCTCCAGGATGGTCTTCTTTACACAGATCGATTTCTCTTTCTCTTCCTGCCTTCGGCGCCGCCGCAAACAGTAATACACCAGGCCAAGAACAATCAGCATCCCGAACAAGCAGCCCACGATAGTCATGATGTAATGAGTCGTAGTGGAGGGGTTGGGCAGCATATCTGGGGTAGGAGCTCGAGTGGAGAAGTAAAGACATGTGTGATTAAAACGCTGTGAATTACGTATTGAAGCCACACAAAAGGTGTAGTTGGTGTTTGGTTTGAGCTTGTTGAGAGTAATCAGCTCCTTCTTGTTCTTCAGGTTCATCACGTCAGAAACATAGCTCTTGTTGTACTGTACAAGGATATACATCTTGCTGTAGGGCCGGGGTATTTGCACTAGTAAGGATGCCGAAGAAAGAGATACATGCTGAAGTTTGATGCTGGGGCTAAAGGAATTCTCAGAGGAGGATGAGGTTGTGGGCTGATGGTATGGCCCAAACATATCGGGGCCCATGCCCGAGGAATCAGAATCTGGTGGCAGTGAAGTCATCCCTGGAATAAACACTCCATCCCGGCACATGGAAGAGAGGATGTTACGAGCACTGCGACCATGTCCTCCAACAGGGCTCAGCAGCGGGTAGCCAAAAAGCTCCCGAGGAGTTTCGCACTGTAGCCGATCATAGGTGTGTGTGACATTGTTGAAGGCTTCCAGCCAGGTAAGGAAACTGTACAGCTCACATCCGCAGTGAAAAGGGTTCCCTGCCAGCTCACACACCATCAGCCTTGCCAACACAGTGAATGTGGATGGGTCTAACCGAGCCAGCTTGTTAGAAGACAGATCCAGACTGCTGAGGCTGGGACACTCCCAGAAGGCATTGGTGGCAATGACCTCAATCAGGTTGTGCTGCAAGAAGAGGCACTGCATGCGCCCCAGTCCTCGCAACATGCCTTCAGTCAGGTTGGTCAGTTTGTTGTATCCCAGTTGCAGGACTTGCAAGTTAGCTTGGGCAGCGAAAGCACCATCCTCAATGTAGGATATCTCATTCTTCGTGAGGTTGAGGTCTGTCAGATTGGTGAAGCGGCTGAGTGAGGAGAAGAAGACAGCCTTGAGCTTGTTTTCGTTGAGCCGCAAGTCATGCACAGTGTTGTTGATGTGCTGCGGGATTGTCTCATATGGTGGCTGGTTCTGGCTGCAGATGGCCAGCCATACATAGCCTTTGTCCCCCTCAATAAGCCAGCAGTCACCACTGACAGGAGTTGGTGCTGAAAATAGCAGGAAAAGAAAAGAAAGGGGGAGGAGGAGAGTACAAGGAGAGGAAAGGATGTACAACTTACTCTTCATGATGGGGGATAGTGGGAAGAGGGTAAGAAGATGGTAATTGTGGAGAAAGGGGAAAAGGTAGAGTCTGTAGACTGTACAAGAGCAGGCAGTCAGATCAGGTTTGAAAGTGGAACGGCGGGTCCTTTTCTGTGTAGTCACAGCCTTGTTATAGATTCTAACAGAGTCCCCATTTTATCTGATATTCCATAGGGCTGGAGTACTGACTGTCGCTTGGCTGCCACATAGCCTCCTCATGGGTCATTTGGATCTTGACTTGAGAATCTGTAGAGAGAAAGAATAAGGGCAAGTTTAAACAATATTCATCATACTCAGGTACAGGCTTTTAAAAGATCACACTTCTTTATTCATGTCTATAAAGCAGAATATGGAAGTATTAAGTTGTACAGAAATGCACCTCATGAATAAGGACTGCCCATTTACTATACAAATATTGATAGTCGCTCCAGTAACACCTGTTTACTGCCTCTGAGGGGCGGATTTACTGGCAATTTGCACTATCCCAAACCCTATTTCAGAATTAAAAACTGTTGCGGCTAAATAGGTGCAATGGCAAAATGGCACTTTAGTGCCCATAATAAGACCAATGGTGCGGTAGCTGCTCATTTGCACGTTTGCCTCATTGCATATGCCTTTATAGGAATACTGGGAGGAGATTAGTGAAGAGTTTTTCTAACAGTTTTATTTATTTTAGATGCAAAAAAAACATTCTGAGAATGCCTGCTGTGTCACGTTATTCTAATTTAATGAAGGAAATAAAAAGCCTAAAATAAAATTAGGAGCAGAAGCTTTAAGAATGATTTGACAAGTATTAAATGTTGAAACTTTTTATGGCTGTGCAATCCCTGCATTACTAAAGTTACTTGTTACTATCGTGCTGTGGCTTCTGGGATGTGTTGCAAGTAGCTAAGAGGTTACGCTCAGCATGAGCTGAAAATTTTATAGTTCCCAGACAAACAAGATGCACTGAGTGAGATTAAACAGGCATTTTACAATATCACTCAGCACAGAACTTAAATTCATCTCATCCCACCACCCAAAGATAAACAGATGTTACAAAATATGATGTCAACATATTCACTTCTATTGTCAAAAAACTGACTTATGTCACAAAAACAATAATAATCTTATTGTTAACGCTTGAAGGACAGCGTTCATCAGGCTACACGACACGTAAGCCTTTCATGACAACTGATATAAAGCTATATATTCCAACAATCTTCAACAGTCATAACACTTACTGAGGTGAAACTACATCCAAATTGACAAAAGCAGCCTTTATGACAACTTTTTGGAATAAACTTTTACAAACGTTTATATAAGTTTATGTCAGTCGTCATGAAATGCCAGAATAAAGCCAAGTTTAAGCAATATTCATTGTGCTCAGGTACAGGGTGTCTCTCAAATGCTGACCTTTTGTTAGGAGTCACAGTTGTATTTTCAAAAAAATAAAACATTTTCTCAAAGTATAATAATTTTTGATTTACTAAGTCAAAATCCTGAGAAAATCAGTCAAACTCACAGGGGTTTATCTTGCGCTGCTCATATGTTAATTATGAAGTTGCACCTGTGTTTATTTGCATGGATGTTCTTATTAGATAACCTCCTATACTGGCCGCCCCACCAGCACAAAGTGTCATTCGACTATCGGTAAAAGCGCCACTTTTAGTAAATCTTCCTTTTTTTACTGGTCTATATTTGAAATCTAGACAATTCTACATTCTAAATCATAACAAGCTCTCACTGTGCTTTTCATAAACTTCTGAAATCTTGTATTTGATTGGATTATCCTGAACAAATGTACCGATGTTTTTAAAGAAATTACAAAGAAATCAATTAATACCTTTCTCAAAGAAACAAATGCCACATAAGCTAGATCTCCCCTTCGACTTTGACTTGCCCTAATCATTTCAGGATGCGTTGTGCCAGGTGAGTCAGACAAGGTGTCTGCAAAACTGAGCTCATTCATCTTTCTATGCCACCTATGTTTCATGCTGGGCTCCAGAATTCAGGAGGACTTTCAGACATGACAGACATCATCAATCATGAAACTGTACAAGAGGTCATTTCCACAGTCATATACGAACACACCCCCGTCTACCCGAGTTTGATTTGCATGCAGTTATAAATCAGAGATAAATATCCATAGAGCAAGGGATTCAAATGCTCTTGTATTGTGCCAAGTTCCGTTATCCTCTGGGCGAGGCAGAAACTGGAAACCATTTCAGGACTAAACAGCCTCAAATCCATCACTCTATCCACATTCCAGTGGAGACTTAGCTCTTTTAATTCTCATCAAGCTTCAAGTCCCAGTTGTACTTCAGCAGCATTCCATATTTAGAATGTGATGTCAGTTCAGCAGTTAAGCTGAATTAAGTTAAATAAGTGCTGTGGGTATGCAGTGCAGCTGATACTGTAAAACTGGTTCAGCTCTGGGTTGTTCTGTTGTGAGTGCAAGTCCAAGGTCATTGAAGTATCTTCTAATACAACGACATCTCCTTGTCTTTCTCTCTCTCTCTCTTATTAAGAATATATATGCTGAAAGCTATCCAGATCAGTCTAGAGACTAATGAAAATTCTCTATCCTCTTCTGACAATAAACAGTAAATATTTCCAAATGCCTTTACCAGGACAGAGAGTGCAAACCAGACCTGAACCCAAAAGAAACAGTCTGAAATTGACCAAGAGAAACTCTACATTCCTAATGATAACATCTGTTAAGTTACCATGTAATGGCAATGATGGCAGCTGTCATCAGATCATCAATACACAAAACATAAAAATAAAAATAGCCCAATAATCAACTGAAAATTAAGATTAAATTCCACTTAAACAAATGCTTTCAACAATGAATGCTTTTGAACAGTCACAAAAGCTTTTATGTTTGTTTGTTTGTTCTTCCTAGATGAACTGGATTTGTGCTGTTTAAGTTAATTAAAATAGGAAGGAAAAAGAAAGCAGGGAGTAAAACTAAAGTAAAGCAAATATAGGATACAATGTGTTGCAAAAGTAAGGCTAAATCAGGGTGAATGCGGGGTAAAATGCGTTAAAGGAGTAAAACTAAAGACGGGTAAATGCAGGGTAAAATGCATTAAAGGAATAAAACTAAAGCAGACTGAATGCAGGGTAAAATGCGTTAAAGGAGTAAAACTAAAGACGGGTAAATGCAGGGTAAAATGCATTAAAGGAATAAAACTAAAGCAGACTGAATGCAGGGTAAAAAGCATTAGGGGAGTAAAACTAAAGCAGACTGAATGCAGGGTAAAAAGCATTAGGGGAGTAAAACTAAAGCAGGGTGAATGCAGGGTAAGATGCATTAAAGGAGTAAAACCAAATTTAGGGTGAATGCAGGATAAAATGCTTTTGTGGAGTAAAACTAAAGCAGGGTGAATGCAGGGTAAAAAGCATTAAAGGAGTAAAACTAAAGGAGGATGAATGCAGGGTAAAATGCATTAGAGGAGTAAAACTAAAGCAGGGTGAATGCAGGGTAAAATGCATTAGAGGAGTAAAACTAAAGCAGGGTGAATGCAGGAGAAAATGCATTAAAGGAGTAACACTAAAGCAGGACATGTGGATTGCAATGCATTAAAGTAGTAACACTAAAGCAGGGTGAATGCAGGGTAAAATGCATTAAAGTAGTAACACTAAAGCAGGACATGTGGATTGCAATGCATTAAAGTAGTAACACTAAAGCAGGGTGAATGCAGGGTAAAATGCATTAAAGTAGTAACACTAAAGCAGGGTGAATGCAGGGTAAAATGCATTAAAGTAGTAACACTAAAGCAGGGTGAATGCAGGGTAAAATGCATTAAAGTAGTAACACTAAAGCAGGGTGAATGCAGGGTAAAATGCATTAAAGTAGTAACACTAAAGCAGGGTGAATGCAGGGTAAAATGCATTAAAGTAGTAACACTAAAGCAGGGTGAATGCAGGGTAAAATGCATTAAAGGAGTAACACTAAAGCAGGGTGAATGCAGGGTAAAATGCATTAAAGGAGTAACACTAAAGCAGGGTCAATGCAGGGTAAAATGCAGGGTAAAAAAGGTGGGAGAAATTAACATGAAATTTGAACCCAACTACAGCTTGGCAGATATTAGAGAAACTGCCCAACCCGACTGAATGGGACATAAATATTCAAGTCCCATCAAGTTTGGACAAATCCTTCAAGCTCTAACTGTCAGTATCCACCTCTCTCTCTTCCCTCTTTCCCTCTTTCTCTCCATCGTTTCCTCTCTTTGTCTTCAGCCCATCAGAGATGTGATCTGGTTTGCTGCTCCACATTCTGAGGCCCAGAGGAAGCTTTAATTAGGGCCGGGGCTCAGATAGATAGGGAGGTGCATTCCAATGAGAGAGGGTAAAGACTGAAACAGAGCGAGAGAGAGGGAGAGAGAGAGAGTGCGGAAGAGACGGGGGCGTGAAAGGCGAAAAAAAGGAATAATTACGCCTTCATCACTACTGTAGGGTTTCAACGTGCGTTTTGATTTGAAATATCGATTTGATCGTTCCCGCATTGAAAGGTTTACCAGCCCATTTCATTTCCATATAAAAAGCACTTTGGAGCAGCCTCGCTCCCACCGAGTGTTTTCAGTGCAACAGAACATTTGATCCAATCTTGGAGAGTGCTCTTGCAGAGAGTGCCAATTACAATTGATTACTGTCTCTCTAGGACCGTTACTTAATTAGTTATGATGAGCTTCTTTGAATTCAATATCACATCCACTCTAAGTCATAATGATCTGTACTCACCGAATAGACTCAATTACGTGCAGGTAGGCAAATGTAACACTGCCAGTTTTCCAAAAAAGCCTATTTTTCCTCATTTTAACGCTGATTCTTCCTCTGTTGTGCCTTTGTGTAAAATGCTTACCAGGCCTATGTGGGCGATTTGGCACACAGTAATGTGAAAAGACAGTAAGCAGTCTCATATAATAAGAGAGTATATGAGGGCCACAGTATATACCGCGCCTCATATCTTATTGCCAGCTGTATTAACACGTTCTGGGAGTGTAATGCGAGGACCGTTTGCTGTACCTCTGTAATATATGTGGTGCGTGGGCACGCAGCGCTGCAAACATTTCCATTATAACTGCTGTGGGCTCGGCCGCTTCTATTGTGCTTATGTTCCATAAATCAAAGGCATGTATTTATCTCTATTAACTCCTGCAAACTACAGCTTGCATAACCAATGCTTTTTGCTAGTTGACCAGTTATTCATTTATCATAGAGGTCATTTATGTTCCAAACATCAGTGTCAAGTATATTAG